GGTATGTCTCATAGGAAATGATCTGGTTTGCTAAAATATTGAAAGGAAGTCGGTGTCGGTCAAAAGTATTAGTTTTGTGAAGCCTTCAGAGTGCAGTGGACGTGATGCATGTATTGTGACAACGATTATAATCACATTTTTATCCTCTGACCATCTTGCCTTGTTTCCCATGTGTTTTTATTTTTTGTTCTTTCACATTGTTATGTCTCCACTCCTCCTGATGCACAGTACGCCTCCTCCTAAATGATCCAAGTATATATATATATATTATTGTCCAGTGGGGTGTAAAACTTAGATAATAATTTCATGTTGTGCACACTCAACTGAGGGTGCACTGGTTAGCTTGGCTATTTTTATGGTGTCATGCTTGATTATGGTGGGGAGGATCTGTTGGTTCAAATCCTGGATGGGCGGGCTATTCTTGAATTAGGAATAGTTAATTTTTTAAAAATATTTTTTTTTATTGGAGGGGGAGGATTTTGAGGCTCTTCAACTGCTTTCTTGTTTCCTGTAGGAGTGAAATCGGAACCACTGCCTCAGACGTAAAATCGGAAGCCCTTACTCATAGTACTCATAGCTTTGTAATGTTGATAAGAGCCTATTAAACCCTTACAGTCAAATCACCCTTAAGTAATAGCACATTGACTTATTTTAATCCTTTCTCACACTGGGTTTTTCTTTGAATTCTTTGCTTGCTGTTTTACGTTTATTGAAGTTGATCGTCTGTGTTTACCGACATCTGTGATGTTATGATTAGTCTCTTTGCCATAGTATGCAGACGACATGAGTTCGATTCCAAAAGTAGGAGAGTTTTTTTTTAAAAATCGAGTTATCTCCCTGTCTGTCAGCTGGAATACTGTGATGCTGTATCTTACTCAGACTGAGTGGGCTCTGAATGCCGGGGTTGAAGCAGCCTGCCTTTTCCTTGACCAAAATTTAGTTAATGAAACAATTACAAACAATTTTACAATCATTGTAAAAATAAATTTGTCGTCTTTATGAATATTATTTAGGTCATTTCGAAAAGCTGGGTAAGGTCATGGCGCTTGTGTGAAACATTCCTGTTAGGTTTTTATTTTATTTAGAAAAACTAAAAGGTTCAGGTTCAAAGGTTCAACTCGGTTCTAACCGTGAGCTTCAAGTTTTTGGTTTCTTAACTCTGCCAATGACAAAGGTCAGATGGGGGTCAGATTAAAGTACATGTAATGAATTGTGCATTTTTGACATTGTTTTGTATGCCACACCTTTGATTAATGCGCTGGATTGTGCAGTTCCGACAGTGTTTTGTACGCGTGGCAGATAATGCTGTTCCTCCATCTTTGGTGTGAGGCTTTTGTCCTTGCTCCCTGAAGACACAAGTTCAATTCCCACGATGGGAAATCTATTTTAAAGAATATCCCCCCTTTTCTCCTAGGACTATAGACGCATTCCCCCCCCCTCAGCCAAAACTGACCTTGACAGGCAAGGCTGAAGTAGCCCACCTCAAAGATAATTGAAATTGAGTTGATTTTATTTTAGTTCATTTCATTTTGTTTTATTTTATTGTAAAATTTGACTTTTAAAAGATAGTCTAATTTAATTGTTTTGGTTTTGGGGGGTGGTGCATTTAAGGAGGGGGGAATAACATTTTTAAATCAAATATAATAGTAATAGTTAGAACAATTTTACTAGTAAAAATTAGCATGCTGCTGTTTTTTACGTACTTATGTATTATTCATGATGTCTCACGACTGTTGTTTTTTTTTTCTTTCAAGAAGCCCATTCGATGTACAGAGATATTTACATCTATTTTGATATACCCTTAAAAAATCTATGTGCATTTGTAAAAATGACAATAAAATTTTTATCAGAATAACTTTGGAACAAATGGTGTTGCTTTTACTCTTCACCATCACCCCTTTCTTCCGTATAATGTGTGTCTGTGTAGCGGGTGTGCTCGTGTTGCATTGAGGTCGATACTGGTACACATAATACAGTCGAAATTGTGATGGACAGCCACCCATTGTCGAGGAGAAAAGTGGCCATCCTAGACACTAGGTCAGATGGCTTTCGTGGTCTAGAGGTTACGGTGTTCGCCTTTCATTCAATAGGTCCCGGGTTCGAAACCTGACAGTGACCTTTCCTGCTTTCTAACCATGTTATACGTCTGCTTTCGTCTCCACTTTCTGCCCACATCCCCACCCCCCTCCTCTGGGCTCCTAGCTCTTTCTGCAGCCTTCCTACTGCCGTGCTACTCCTTGGCTCCTTCTTACTGCTGTCTTTCAGCCACATCCCTGATCTTATGGTAGGTAAGATCCAACACCTGGCCTTCTCGGATAAGGGCGAAAAATCTTGGATGTCTCATTTGCAAGTTGCGCCCGTTAAAGATCCCTTGGTGGTTTTAAAATCGATAAGAGTAGGCTTCGGCTGCCACCCGGGTAAAATTAGAAATTTCTTACCTACTAAAAAATGTTTCATGTGTCACGTACACTCATATGACCTTACGCAGCTGCGTTCGCTGTAAAATGCTTTACCCCCTCCCCCTAAAAAAAAACTATAAAAAAATTAGATGACCACCAAACATACTATCATCATAAAACATCAGTAAAAAAGAACGCTAGAGGAG